AGAGCCTGTACATTATCCAGGTTTACTTCCACCACAGGGAGCTCACACACCACTTTTCAGAATGGCACATGCAGGCCTTGCAACATCCCAGGAGTTGCTACTAGCAAGAGCCCTGCTGAAGATCCATAAACAAGAGGTCTGCAGCACCACACAGCTACACCCCACCTCATTGTTAACTAGCCACAGCTTCAAGGAGACCCAGAGTCTCAGTAGTGTGTGTGGAAGCCAGAACATGAACTATGGAGGCTTTTGGCTGTAAGATCACCCTCTCTGTCACTGTAATTGAGTCAGGTCCAGCGCCAGGAACCTGGCAGCTCAGGAAGTCTGCTCTGTACTGTCCATTCCCTCTGCTCAGCTCAGGTCCCCACCCAGGGCTTCCAACTAGATCACCAAGCCACACTAAAAATAGCCAGCTCACAAAACCAGCTCTTGGCTCTAGCCACTCCACCCTCAAAATACAGAGACTAACTATACTGCCTTCTGCAAACAAAGGAGAATTCACTCCTCCATCTATTTATAAGCTGCTTATTCACAGCTAGTAAGCACAGATTCTTTTCAGATGAGGAGCTTGGGGGAAGAGATTAAGCTTATTCTGGTTCCCTGGTGCACAGAGCCAAACACTCAACATGATCATTCCTTCACCATCTGAGGTTTTTCTCCTTTCAGCTCTCACCTCTAGCCTTGGGACTATCTTGTCCATCACCATGCAGAGCATGACACAATCCCACTCCCGTGCCATGGTGAGAACACTGTGGTAGAGCCAGGCAGGTGCATTCTGGTTAAAAAACATCTATATATTCATATAAAATGGTTATACCTTCTTTACTTGTGACTCATAACACATCTGCAGGATGAAAGGCATTCACTGGGCACTTGTCTAAGCACACGTTTCCAGCTGTTGGCTATGCAGGAAGGGTAACAATAATGAGAACAACAGTGAGAAACACCTGGCTAAAGACCAGGTTAAAAGGATCCTGGCCTTGCTGCCCACCCCCACACCACAGCCTCACTCAGCAAGAGCTCCCACTGCTGCTGCCTGGCTTCTGGCAGCTTCTCTGACATTGCCATCATAAACTGTAAGTTTATGACATCCACTACAGAAGCAGCAATAAATTAATCCACTTTTCACAGCTGGCTCAGTGAGTTGCCTGCAGGTTAACTGATCACTACACAAGATAGCCAGAAGCCAAAGCTACTCCTGCTAACCAACTCTATGTACCTTATTAAACAACTCTTGTTATTAAAAAATTCCTCTTTGAAAGTGCAAAAAGAAGTATTAACAGCATTGAAGTGATGGAGGTCTCTGTGATATGTGGCCACACTTAGCAAGAGGAACTTCAGCTAGGCTAACAGCTCTGCATTTCAATCCCCAGAAAGACTGGGACAGCAAAACCTCAAAGAGTTCAGCTAACAGACCTGGAGAAGCACTGAGCCTTCAGAGCAGTGGATGGTGTGAAGGCAAATGTGCTGGCTTTAAATCTATCAACAGTGAGCAAGTGGCAATGCCACTTCCAGCAGTCCCCAGGCACCTCTGGGTGGCCAGTCCTACCATTACAGCACTTCAAGAGGTGCCACAAAGATACACTGGCTCATGAGTGCCACACCCACACCAACTCCAGGACAAATTCAGCCTGGTCTTGCTGGAGGTGGGAGATCTCAGAGCGATCAGCTGAGCACACCACAGCCCCTAATCCAACTCCCTGCAACGAGCTGCCTGCAGGATGTGTATTCTGGTAACTGAGCTCCTCCTTCCTAAGCTGGGAAAAGGCAGAGTTCCAGCCAGCCTGCTTGGAGAAGACTGTCTTTCCTTTTGTGGACAAGCAGCTGGATGGGTAAGGCTATCTTCTGCAGTGGTACTTGGTGGAGGAAGGAGTATGAAGGCTCTTGGTCAGCTCACAATGGGAGCAGTTACTGGTCAAAGCCACTGCTGTGGTGCTACAGCATCTCAGGATGAGACCATCCAGGAAAGACTCCCAGAAGCTCTCAAATCAACTGTTAGAGAAACAAATGGATGGAGCACAACACATCCCTCCTGCATGCCCACATCTGATGGAATGAGTTCAACTTTTGCACGAAAGAATCTGTGGCACTGGCTTAGCAAAGCCTCACAAATCCCAGGTCAGACCTGAGCAGCAATGAGACCCACTGCTCTGTGCCACTCCAAAGGGCAGCTGTGCTCTCCAGGAGGTCAGAGCGAGCAGAGAAGGCTCCACAACCAATTCCACGAGAGGAGTTTCATTACTAAAGAAAAACTACAACAATTCTTGTTTACCTCGTGCTTGTGAAAGGTATTTGGCAGATAACATCTGACTGCACTTACATGCCTGCTTCCTTGCCTGTTTTAACTTATTATCTCCAACCTGTGGTCAGGCATTTCCAGAAGGGTTCATCCATCTCTATTATTACCAGCTCCTGGTGTTCTTTTTCCAAATGAAACCACAAAATAGCAACAAAGACATCTGTGACAGCTAGAAAAATATATTGCCTGAAAAAAACCCCAAGTCAATCCCTTGCTTGGTTAATCCCAAGGTGAAGGTGCAGATGGGCTTGTCACCTCTATTCTTAAAAAAAAAAAAAATCACAATTTTAACTTTAGTTCTCCACTTGTAGTCGACATATTTTAATTAAGTGGAGCCAAAAGTCCAGAAAACTGCTCTTTAAACTGTCTTCTCTATTTATATGTAATTCATGCACATTCAGACAGTCACCTGTTCACAACTGGCCTCAATTTATGACTAAGAAGTCCTGGCAGTCATGACTATTTTATCAGACTTTTGTACCACACGAGACAATAAAAAACAACAATGGGACACGTAATAGACAAAAGAGCCAAAGGTGACTTAGAAGAGTAAAGCCATTTGACTTGCTTTTGTAAATAATTTATTTCAAGTATTGGGAGAATGGGTGTGGAATTAGGCTGCTAAGCATTGATCAAGATTTTACGATTCAAAGTTCAGAGCAGCAGTGCCACAAGCCCTGCTGAGTGCACACACAAAGGGAGTTCTGTTCCATTTTCACATATCACCAGCTGAAAATCAAATATTGGACCTACATACATCACTAGCCACTCCATGCTAGCTTAGTTGGCCAGTTGCAATATTTTGTCTCTATCCTGCTTTGATCATATCTGTTAAAGAAGCCTTTGAAAATCATAATCTTTACAATATTAGCAGAGCTTAGAACCTTGAATATCTGCACATCAGATAGGAAAGGAGTAAGTGCAAAGCCATGGAGGACCGAAAACCAACAGTGCCTTAAACAGAGTTCTCTAGCCAAGTGATAGAGCTCTTTTCCCCATTTAAAGGGATCCTGAAACAAAGAAGAGTGGACTTCTTTAGTCCTCTGCCCCAACTTAGATGAAAATTTAAATACTGCATGGATTTTAGTTTCTGCAACTACTCCACAGCCTAGAAAAGAATAACTTTCTCCTGCTATATTCAGTTATGCTCCTTAAGCTGGAGAAAGCCACATGTATTTGAGCCATGGCATACAGTCTCTTTTCACACTGGCAGACAATGAATATAACCTGAATTAAGCAGAGAATATGCTACACAGCTTCAGCATGCACCCAAGCACTGTACAATCAAAGAATTCTGTGTGTATCCCCCACCCCTGCCCTTGCTAAAGTAATCAAAGCAGTAAATTATCCTTAGGGGTTCTGTCAGATCAGGTTTCAAAGTTGATCATTTCCCTGCACAAAAATATAGGCTTAGCTTAAAACCAAAACAAAACATAAAACTCGTGCACATTTTCCCATTCTCCTAGAACTCTAAAGTTGCTATGTTACTTAAAATAAAATAAATAATAATTAAAAAAACTAAACAAAGCACAAAACCCCACATTATTGTGCTTCTCATGTCATGTGAGAATGAAAAGCTTATACTGTAGCAATTCAATCCAAAATTGCATCAAGATTACTTCACCAGTTCAGCAAGAGAACTGTGTCTGCATAGTCTGCCAGAGCTGCTGACAGGAGCCACAGCAAGCAGGGAACAGAAACAGTTACACAGCCTGCCCTCATGCTCCTCTCTCTGCACCAAAATGTCGATCCTCTTCTCCCAGTGACAGGCAGCAACTTGCACTGTCATCCACTTGCTGAATTTTAAAAGAGAAATGTTTTTTTCACAGTGTTTGGTTGAGATACTCCGTAACTACTTTGTTATCTTCTCCTGATTCCCTCCCTTCAAACCTCCCAGCTTGTGATGGCAACGTGGAATTGAACCAGAGCAAGGCTGTGGGTGCACAGAGCTATTCCACACCACCCTGCCACCCCCCGTGCCCTCACCTGCACCCACATGCCAGTGCTTATCTCACACTGAGCTGCAAGCTCCTGGCTGCAAAGGCTGCCTTTCTACCTTGCTGTTTGCACAGCACATAGCACAGAGGCCTTCCCATGCTGATAGGCTTCAGGTGTTTTAACAGCACAAACACAAGTTGTGCAATGCCCTGGGGATGTCAAACAGCTGGGCTCTCTCAATCCTCGCTTCTCATACCGACCCCACAAATGGGCAGTGAGTATTTGTTTGTGCAAACTGTACCAATGTGCCAGGAGATCAGAGCCTGCCTCAGCCAGCAAGCATTCCTCCCAGCTAAGGTCCCTGGAAATCCCCTTGCACAAGGAGTGCCTTAGGAAATCACACAGCGATAATGGCCTGCACCTAAACATTCATCACTGCTATCATCAATTAAGGCTTGTGTTTTACAGGTACCCAAAATATCCACTTCTCTCTCCACTACAGAAGATAAGTCTGATTTGGCTTCAAAAAGGAAGTTGAACCATCTAAGTGAATTGACCTGCACTAGTTTTTGGACTGGGGAAGAAGCAATCAAGATAAGAATAAAATTCATTACATGTTTCACCTTTACTGTTTTTAACATAATTCCTTGCTACACAAAGCTGTTCTCCAGCCTGCAGAAACGATGGGGCACCTCAGGGAGACTCCCAGCACCTGCTTTTTGCTTTTTTCCCCATCTCCTCTTCTCCCAGTCTGGGGGCTCACCTGTAGTCTTGGGTAAGGGTGACACAGGACGCCTCCTTCCCCAGTCTGGCGAGGAGCGCTCCGCCCTCCTGCTGCACCCTGACCAAACTTGCATCTTCAAGAACATTCTTCATCAACTGCCTTGAATTCCTCAGCAGCACAGCTGCATCCTGGAGGGATCACAAGAGTGAGGTGAGCAGATATTGCAATGTACAGGCAACGAGGGAACAGGCAAAAACCGGAACATAAACCAAAACACACCAAAACCACATCTCACTGGGCCCACTCTAGGAAAAGGGGACGTTGGTTCCCATAAATGTTTCTCTCCAGCCTGATAAGTCTAAAGTGATAAACAGTGCTCCTTATGCTCCTGATACCTTCCCCACCAGGCTAAAATTGTGACCCAATTCCCATAATTCTTTTTCCATTCATTTGCTGGGCATAGAAAAAACAGATTTCCAGCCTTGCTTCCCACACATACTTAGCTCCTACTGCTCTGGGAGCCTGGATCTGCATGGCTCCAAGCCTCGGGACAAGGTGCACATGAAGGGTTTGTGGAGATACAGATGTGTGCAGGAAGGCCACTACCATATCCTCCATCATTTACTATTGGCACCCTCAGTGCAGAGCTGGCAGCAATTCCCTACCATGTCAGGGATACAGCAGCTTCTCAAGAAGAGAAATAGAAGGTTTGTGACCACGTAGGCTTGGTCTTTGTCTCTTTGTCCCTTCCCCTTCTTGCCCACTTCCAAACTTTGCCCACACCCAAGTTTGTACCAGCTACAGAGCTCTGAGAATGCACCCCAATGCTGGAGCTAGCACCCATCAGCAACAAGCCCAGCTGGAAACATCTCCTGGGTGACTCTGAGGAATCAGACAATCAATCAGCTTCCAAACCCACTGAAGCCTCTATCACTTCATTTGGACTAGCTCCTACTAGTACTGGGAAACCCTGCTACTACAGCTTGCAAATTCAAAGCTACAGCTTTTCTGCAGCTATCCAGCCTCGTGATCCTTTCTGTCTCAGGTCCACCCCTGATCCAAGGTGAGCAACATGCTTACCTCAGCCTTTCCTGGTAATTTTGTGGATTCCACTTTATTAATAGCTCCCTGAAGGAAGGCACAAACACCCTGGCATTGTTGTAGCAAGTATTCCAGCTTCTACAAGAAGAAAAGACCAAGGCAGAGATTATTGTCTCACGGCTGACAGGAAAGGTCTTCTGGGCTTGCAAAAGCTTCAGAGTACAAAAATCAAGAGAGGATCAAACACATTAATCCAAGGGTTCAAATATATCATTCAGTGAGACTATATCAGCAAAGAGAAACCCATAAGAAGCTTCAGCTGCATCACATTAGACCAAGGCCTCTATGCAGACCCTAGAAAGCTGCATACTCATGGCTTGGATGGGTCATGCTTTACAGAAAAAAACCCCAAAAACTAGTCCACTTATGTCTCACATTCTTCCATTAGCATTTCTTGTAACTTTCCATGATGATGAATCACACTGCATAAATTTCAGAGAAACAAAACATAAAACAAGTACTTGGAATTTTTCTACTTTAAATAATTTCTCCTCGTACTAAAAGTAGTGTAAATTAAAGATTAGGAAACTGGAAAGCTTCCAAAATTAAGTACCTTAACTTATGGACAAATTTTAAATCCTTCCGCTCTTCAGGGTGGGGGGGAAGCAGGGAGAAAAACAAACAAAAAAAAGTCCAAACATTTCATAAGGGCTTGTAAGGCACTATTTTTTAGAAAAGTTAATGATACAAAGCCTGAATACTGCCAGATGCCACCTTCTAGCCACTAAAATCAAGAGAAGGGAGAAACAGTTATTCCAAAATAACTGTGTTTAAAACAAAACAAAAAAGCAGCTGTTTGAATCTTTACTGAATTGAACTCCCTCCTCCCCTGGAGTGCTGGAACACTGCCAGCAGTGACAGATTAGCAGGCAGGATGCAGGTGAGATCACTGAGACAGGAAATAAATGCTGTTTGCCACATAGCTGCAGAGCTAAAGGAGCTGAGCACACGGGTCATTATCACACACAGTATAAACAGGCATTCCATACAGAATGATTCCCATACTAACTCCATTTGGTAATGTTTTACATGCCAAGACAAGAAATAGCCTGATATTATGGTGCTTCCTTCATGAATTACCCTTCTGCACACACAGAGCCCCTCAGCTCTCAAGGTATTCTCAACTCTGTCCATTAAACTAATCCATTACTTCTTGCAAAGTTTCTCTGCTTTGTCACTGCCAAATAAACTTCAACTTCTCTAAGTTCTCCAAGTCAATCCTTGGCACAGATTAGGCCTCTGTACCTCTACTGCATCAGCACAGGTTCATACAAGTACTTTTAGATGTAAGTTGGAAAAAATAAGTTAACATTTGGCACATGCCAAGCCTATCTTCTGAAGCCTACCACCAGCACCAGAGTGGTGCTATCTGTGACATCTTAATCATGGCACTCTGGGTAGCAAGGTCAGAGCCAAAAGACCACTGGAAGCTGAGGTGACAATTCTGCCAACCACCAGGGTCAGCAAACTCAACATGAAGACAGCCAGCTTGTGTGCAGATTTACAGAGATTTAATCCTGTCTAGTCTTGGTGTGCCAAATAACTCAATAGAGCTTTTAAAGATTCAACAAGCACATGGTTGACAGCACTCAGGCTCCCTCCACAGCACAAGTGCACACAGAGCTGGGTATTGGTGCCATGGATGCCACCCCTGCAGGTTTCTGGCAGTCTGCACATACCCTGCTGCTTGCAAGTAAAAGATATTCCTAGAAGAAGAATTCTGAACTGATTATCCAGAACTTCCAAATCTCACTCATGCAAGGACTTCAGATATTACCAAGGAGATAATAGCTTGATTTGGGAACTTGCTCCAAAATCAATAAGATTTAATTTGTTATTACAATCAGGTTCTTCATCATGAGTCCAATGGCAACATGGTACCAACACCTTCTGCTGAGATTAGTTTCAGATGTCTGACCTCCTGTCTAACTCAAGAGCCACTTGTGTATCACAAGACAGGATTCCATTTCAGATTTGACCATATTTTGAAGGCAAGAAAGAATAGAAAGAGTTAATGCAGTTCAAGCAAACGAGTAAAAAACTAAAACTTTAGTTCCTGCAGTCATGCCAAAAGACCACAGTGTGTACTCATCTTATGAAGACAGTATTAGCTTTTTTTTTTTTGATACCAGAGATTCATTTGCATTCACAGCTTTACAGGAAAATTGTCTTTTAATGCTTGTAGGTTCAGCTGTTGACAGGTTCCTGTTGCTCCCATCTGTTACCATGCTTCTCTCAGACACCAAAGCACACAGGCCATTGTACTCACCCTGCGGAAGCTCAGCCAGCTCTGGTGGCAGTATGGAAAGGTCCCTTCCAGCTCCAGAGGCAGCTGGGAGCTGTCTATGTGCTTATGGAGGGATTTCATGGAGGTGAGAAGTTCAAACTGCACAGGAATAGAAAGGAAAAGAAAAAAGCTCACTTGAATTAGGGTGTGAGTACTGGAGGAAGAGGGGAAGGTTAACAAAAGGCAGAATCTATTATTTCTTTATCTGTCTTGCACAGAAGCACAGCATGGAGTGTGTAGCTGCAATATCACAATATGAAGGGGAAAAAAACCCAACAAAAATTCAATCTTAGAGCAGCTTGTTAAACAGCTCAGTGGGCAAACCCTGAAGGAATGCAGGCCACAACATGCTGTTTCACCAGGCAGAACATCTGTGATGGAAGTCTGGCAGCAGCCAGCCTTCTCCAGAGCCAGCACCTCCTGGTGTAAGCAGAGCAACTCCCTCATATGTTCCCACAGTTGTGCTGTGATTTGCATCTGTTTAGAGAATCTGGGAGGTTAAATCTAGCCCCCAGCTTCCCCATCTCACTTCCTATAAAAGAGTCTAACAGACCAGCCTCTGCCCTGCCCTCAGCTCTCCTCCACTCATCACAGCAGCTATTTGCTCCAAGAGTTTCTTGGAGCTTGGCACAGGTAACTTGCCCTCTTCACATCTGTAGGACCTCAGAGCATTTCTACACTCACCAGAGCAACAAGTGCTCCTGCAGGTACATGGAAGCCAGCCCAGACACAAACTCAGGTGCAGACATTTAACTCCTACACACACACAGTGTGAAGTTTCTACCTCCTTACAAAATTGTGATGATGCTTCCAATTCCTCCTGCATGCCCATGTGTTTATTAGCCTTTCCTCTGTTCCCTCCTACACTCTTTGTGTTTGTTCAATGTGTTTAGTGTCTTCTGTAACTCTCCCTGCATGCACATGCCTGCAGCCCCCATTCTGACTCCAAATTCTTCCACATGGGGGGAATAAGGAAATGGACTAATAGCATTTGTTATTCTTTAGCCTTTGGGGACACCACACCTCATGCACAGCAAACCTGACACCTGTCACAACATCTTCATCCACAGGAGCCAAAAGGGAGCTCCCGGCCTGCTCTGAAACCTACAGAGCTTCATCAGGCACATAATTCTTGCAGCTTGCAACAGTCTTGGAGCACAGGAAGAGGACTAAGATGAAGTCTGCTGACCACAGCATGGCTGGGAGCCTACATTTCTTATACAGCTATAGAATAGCAAGACAATTTTACTTCTAGTGGGGGAGTTCAGTGATGTTGTGGTAATTTTCCCTCCTCTTGGTCTTTCCAGATATTTCAAGCTACAAAGGGAACCTCACACAAATGCCCATCTCATCTTCCCCTTCTTGCAGAAGTCTCTCAGCCACTGGCAGCAGCAGGTATGAGAGGAAACAGAGGAGATGCAAAATCCAGGAAAGCAACAGGCACTTTCAAAGGTGGAGTTCAGGATTTAGCATAATGTGATCTCTTCCTGACCACACATTTCCCCACTTGTTAATGGGAGAACATGAAAAGCATCTCTAATGGTGCAGAGCTCCTCCAGACAGTTATCCATGTTCCCAACAAACCCCCTGTGTTCTGAGTCCCCAGCAGACTGACGTAATTGTGGTGCAAATGTCACTGATGGACGTGGCAATAAACAGCAGGACAGGGATCTGTTCAGCTCACAGAAACACTACAACCCAGTAAATACCACACACATAGAGACCACAGCCACAAAACAGGGAGGATACCTGTGGAAATTTCATGTGAGAATGAACATACATCAGTGACAGGGAATTTGCTGTCTGGACAGTTAAATAAAGGATATCAGGAGTGGCCAAGCAAATTCCAGATAAATGGTTCCATTACCTGTCCTGCTGGTGGCTTCTCCATCCGAAAAGTCAGATCTTTTTCAACCAGAAGCAGGACTCCATGAATACAGTGAGGATCCATCTCCTACAACAGAACAGAGCACAAATCCATTAGTCATCTGCCTTGGATACTAAGGAGAATATACCACACCAGGTTCATAGAAAGTTTGCAATTTATCCTTCAAAGGCATCTACAAAGCCTGGAAGGCAGTCACCAGAAATTAAGGAAGGCCAGTCTACAAAATACCAAGGTGATGTCTTTAAGGTAGTTTGCTTCAGATCAACTAGTCCTGCAATATTTAAGGAAGCAATGGAAAAGGTCAGGTGTTGGCTGTACTAAAGAAGCTCTGCCTTCTGCACAGGGAAGTGAATCAGGGAAAAAAAATAAAACAGAACTTAAAAAAAACTAAACCATGTTCTGTGTCCAAGTTTTTTCCTGATAACTCTCCTGGTCACTTCACCTAACTGAAAGGAAGTGGCTTTCCCCCCTCCACCCCCAATCCAGTGCCAAAAACATCATCTTGTCTCTACTTACTGCCAATTTACAGTCAAGTACTTGCATCCTGTTTCTACTGTTAAACTGACAGAAATTCCAAATACAAGGGATGTTTGGCAGCTGTAGTTCAAACTCAGTGATCCAGGAGCAGCTCTCCTATTACAGAAGCATTCTACAGGGAAGTGAGAAACAGGCAGAGAGAAAAACAGTAGGAAGAGGGAAGCATGGCAGAAAGATCCAGACCATGGAGACAGGACCCCCTACATATGTGATGCCTGGACCAGGAAAGCAAGGAGAAGAGCCATTAAAGCTGTTGTGCCACATGATTAAACAAGAGCCATCCCATTTTGATGTCTCCTATACGGTCTTTGCCTCTGTAAAGATCTCAGGAATTGTCAAGCAACAAATCCTTTGTGGTGTTGCTCGAGCTGGAAGGAACCTGCCACACAGCAGGTCACAACAGCAAAGGAAACTTGTTTAAATAAACAGCTCCAGCAGTGAGCAGGGTTAAATATCTGCCAGGAGCAGCAGAGCCAGAGTACAGAGAGAAGTGGACCAACAGAGACTGAATGACCTAACCTGACACTGGGCCCAGTTCAGCAATTAAAAAACAAGGCAAACACAAGGAGCCCAAATTCTGCAAGTGAAAGTAGCAGCAGAGATCCCAGAACAGAGGAAAAAGGCCTTTCTCTCATCCAGTCCTAAAACATGATCCTTTTAAACAGAGAGCAAAAAAACCTCAACTGAAACACCTTCCAAAACCATGAGAGGTTTCTAAATTGTAAATTTCTCCAGTAAATTATTCACACTTTCACTGTTATTTGAACACTGATTAAAAGGCCAAAAAGGATTTATTACATAATTAGGCTGCATTAGGTAAATACTGAAGAGAGGATGGGGAGATATTACAGCTGTATCACCAGCTCTGAATTTATCTGCTAGAAAGTACTGAAGAGAGAAGACTGGACACAACTTCAAGACTGCTGATGGTACTAAACAAATTTTTTCTTACACAATCCCTCTTCTATGCCAACAGTCACAAGATGTGCAATATGAGTGAGGGATAAAGGTAGTGATGGTGTAACAAGAGGTTACCACAATAGCCAAAATACTCATTTGTTTGTTACTCCTGAAAATAGAAACTGAAAAACCATTCACAAATAAAGCTGTCAAGGGAAAAGTTCAAGGTTTTCCAACTCAAGAAGAAATTGTATTTCCAAAGAAATCAAGTACTTTTCACCACATTTTTAAATTTAAACAGCTGAAGATAAGTCAGTCTCATCTAGCACTGATGGAGCAATCCAAAGACTGAAACAGTTTACCAGGAGCATCTCAGGAGACAAGCAGAGCTGGGAACAGCAGGATGCCACTTGAGGAAGCTTTCCTGCAGCTTTATGCACAATCACTTACCCTCTCTGCTAACAAAACCAACTTTATGGAAGCAAAGAAACAAGAGTTTCATACATATAAGTGAACTCTTCACCTCCCAAAACAGGTATAGTTTGGACAGCATAGAATAGAGGGGCATCAATAGGAGTTCAGAAAGCACCAGGGTAAATACAGAGCCTTTTATAATTATTCCTTTTAAAGAGAATTAGATATTTCTTCCAATGTTTCTCAGACTGAAGTTCCAGTTTTCTGGCTTCCTGCCCCAAATGGAAACCCGTGGCCAGACTTAACAACGCTGGCACAGTCTGAAGCACAGGCTGCCAGGAATGTTTGCACAGAAGGGACAGTCCCCAGACACCTCAGTCAGTCTCTGAGTGACCACTCTAATGGACTAGCAGGGGTTCCCTGTCTTTAACATGAGACCAAGTTCCTCTGCACTTCTGCTCTAAGTGAGAATGCAAATACACCTCCTGAACAGAAAGGTTTGCACAGAACTTCTCTGCCTTCAAATGCTAAACTGACTCTTCCCAACCCAACACGAAAACACAGCCTTCACACTGATATGGGAAATTCAAAAGAATCTCAGTCTATTAAGATTCAGGCAGAGGGAAATCCCACAGATACTTGCTCACTGAAGGCAGGGTACACATTCCACTGTCCATGCCTTGTCTGCTCACTGAGCAAGGCATCAGTCTAGGACTTCTGAGCAGCAAAGCTCCTCTTAAGAGCCATCCTCCACAGCACAGAGCTTACTTGTGACAATCTGTAACCAAACATTTCAACATTTATCCTGCAAAAATCCTTGCTCCAAAGCATCATTACACAGTTTCCCACAGGAACAAGCCTGATCTATTCCTGCAACATGCACGCACGGTGCACTTCCCTTCACCTCCGCACAGAGCTGCCAGAGCTCCTCCTGCTTCTTCCTGAGATAGCTCTGCAGCTCTTTTGATTCTGCCCCACTCCCTCTGCTCTGGCTGCTGTCTGGGACAGAAAGATTTCCCAGCCACCCAATATTCCAAAAAGAAGGCAAAAAAATTATTGCAGAATACAACTGGCCCTACCCTGAAGGCAGAGAGGACAAGCTCCCACCAGTTTACCAGGTGGTCCTGGACAGAGCAACTGACAGACTCCCATTGCTGTAGGGAAAACTAACCTACAAGCACCCAAAGTTGTCTACTAGCATTTAATTCCAATCATGCATTCATTCTCAAAAGATGGAGAAATGGAAGGAAGATTTCCTCAGGCTGACATATCCTGACCCAGGAACCTTTGCTTCCCAGGAGTCTCTCTAGGCTTAACAGAGCCCAGCAGGAAGGGACTCTGCAATAGGGCATCTGATCTGTGCTGCCCCACTGTGAAGCAGTGCTTCCCACTGCTGGGTTAAGAGGAAAACAACCCCTCAGAACTGAACAAGCAGTGCTGGACCTCAACATTAAACAGATTCCAGCACATTATCATAGTAGGCTTCACAGAAACTATGTAAGTAAAATCCTCTATAAGGGGAGCGGTGGACAGCAGAGAAATGAGCTCTAGAGCCAGTCTGCCAGAGACACTGAGATGTGTAAGGGATTTCAGAAAGGTCCCCAAGGAGGTGATGTGCATGGTAGCCTTAGAGATGCAACATACAGTCTGTACCTCAGAGCCTCAGAGCAGTCACTGGCCAAGCTAATCCTGCTGCACTCCAGAACACTTAGCTTGCCTCACTGTAGTTATGCTCAGTTTTCTGTATTACTCTACCCTTGTTCCAGAGCAGAGGACAACATTGCCATGGGATAACAGAGTAAATGCTGAGGATCTTAGTGAGGCCAGGGATTACTCCTGTGCCATAACTAGGCGATGAGCTACCTGAACAGGTCTCCTTTACAGAGTCTTCAGAAGAGTCAGTGTAAGGATCAAAAACCCATAAGCAGAGTAATCAGCCTTTGTAAACAGTAAGAGTAATCAGTCACTGTTACCTAGAGCACACACTTAGGTCCAGCAATCTGTCTTACAGCACATTAAACTCTGTTAAGTAACTGTAGCACCACCCTGATAAGGAGGTGCTCAGAGCCAAACAGCCATCACAGCACAGCAAAAAGCTTCCCCCCTCCCTCATTTCAGAGGGGAAACTTAAGGTTAAAATGGCATTATTACCATGCTTGTATGAGAATTGAGACAGCCAGAACATGTTACTGATTTCCAAATCAGGCAACTAAGACTGCCATGCAACTTACATGGACAGTGAAATGCTCAAAAGCTTTAGCAAGCCTACTGCCATGTGGGCACAGCATAAAAGAGAACGTGTTTGCTTGTTACCTCTGCAGAACTGAGCAGGGCACAGGTTACTCCTTCACCACAGAGAATGAGCACACTGATAGAGCTCACAGCTCCACCCAGCCCAGGAAGCAGGAGGAGACAGACCTCTGAGTCAGACTCAACTCTCAGATGTGGCACTGAAGCACATAAACCACAGACATCAGCTTCATTAAAACATTGCCCTGTTCCAGTTTGCAGAGTTTGAGTCCTAAGAGACCTAAGCTCTGATTTAAAAGGAACACCTGCTTAAACAAGATTAGTCATCGCTACAACCCATCATCTCCCTGTCTTTCTAAGAGCAGCAGATAGTTTCTATCTGGGAAGGGGGGCAACATAACCCACTGGCTTCCCAAGTGACTGATATGAAAGCCTTTGACCTGAAGCAATATAGAGTTACAGCACATCCGATTCTAATCATTCACTGACAGCCACATCAACAGCTGCACGTGCTTTTCCACCTGGCATAGCAAGCAGTGTCCTTCCCTTCCCATGACAGCAGCAGAGGCATCTCTCCCTCCCTTCTCTGCAGCAGGCAACAACCCCTGCACATTCCACACAGCCCCTCAGTGCAGGGGACAACACCTCCAAGAAAGATAATTCATGACAGCATTGAGACTTGGGTACGGGCTGTTCTCAGCACTGAGATGAAAGCAAATTTGGAGGGGTGGGGAGGGGTGCTCTCCCCTAACTCAGACTGGCTTAGGTTTTTTGCTTTGTCTGCAGTCTGGCAAGTCCAGGTCATCCTCCTAAAGCAGGGCTGGGTGTGTAGCTCCACCTCCCAAAGCCAACTGAAAGCCAGGTGGCAGATGGAGACACGAGCAGCAGATGGAGATGTAACATCCAACCATGCCAGCAAGGCAGCCAGTGCTCCTCTGGCCAGGCTCAAGGCTCACCTGCAACGTGCTGAACGCCTTGAAGAGAGCAGGAACGGGAGAACAGCGACGAGCATCCACAAGAACAGTCAGACCCAAAGCCTGACATTCTGGTCTGCAAGGACAAAGATAAAAAGGTCACCTTTGTCACCAATGAAAATTAATAAGACTATAAAAACAGAACCTCTAGTCATGGCAGGGTGAAAAAAGACCAGTACATTATGGCTTTATAATAACAGGAACTAATTAGTCACCTTCTCCTGAGCAAAATATATACACAGAAACCACCAAATAATTGCTCTGTTTTTACCTTTGCCATATGATTATATGACTTCCACCCAATTTCCCATTTCTCCTATTCCTAGAATATTTGTCACTGATGGCAAAGGTGCTGATGCACACTGGATAATCCACACAGGAAAACCAATTCTTCCTAATTGTGTTCAGAGACAAGCTCGGTTTCAGCCTAACTGTTTCAGGAGAGCAGCCAGTCTGGAGCAGACCCAATGTCTACCTCATCTAGAATCAGATTTGAAGGGAGAAGCATAAGAAACAAAGCATGAGTTTCTCATGGATTAAGCCTGCTCCCCTTATTGTTATATGGTTTAAAGGCCTCAAAAAATCACTATCAGAGTTGCTTTACCTCTTCTTATTTAATCATATACAAGTGAAAAATAGTGATGAGCTGGGGAAGAAAAGTCTGTCATAGTGAAAGGAAGAGAAGCTCCAGCAAACTCCACCTGAAGACAGAGGCTTTTTTCAGACACACATCAGGCAGCCTCTCAACCCTTACAGATCCTTCCTCCCTCTCAGCTTGGAGGCCTGGCCCTAAAATATCATGTCACAACACTATCACAGAGCTGCTGCATGACTGCCCCATGATAGCTCCCAAATCCCATTTTCTGAACTAATGAAGGATAGCAAGAATGGCTTGGATTCATGGCAACACATGAAAACATTCAGTACATACCAAATTATATCACACCATGTGCACACGGCATATACAGAATAGGCAAAGTGCTTGCTGAACACAAGCAGGAGATTCCCAGCTGTGTAATTTCAGAACTGTCTGGACCAAGTTCCTAGGCCAATAAAGTCAACCTCCTTCCATTCCTGTCTCATTTCCCATCTCCAGGAAAGGGAAAGCAGACAGGGCAGCAGCTGTCAGCCCAAGAGCATCACAAACCTTGGGATGCTGTGCAAGTACAGAAGCAGGCGTACAAGCTCAGTGGTGTTGCAGTGGGGGTTTAACCAGGCTGTGCTCCTTGTTGTTATTATGGCCACTGCACGTCCCGATTTGTCTCTCGTACCTGTAAAAAGAGAGGGGGTGGAAATCACACAAGTCATTCAAGAGAGCCTGGTTCCAGGTCTGTATGCATCATATTCTCCTACTAAGACCCCACCACCTTCCTGGAAATCCTGCACTGAACTCAATATAGTGCATGTTGCAGATGGTAGGATGCTATAAACACACTTCCAAAGTACCCAAATGCTGCTCCAGAGTGAAGCAGATGAGCTCAGCTTGTCTTTCTCATGGTAGTGTTAAATTTGTACTGCTGTCCTCCACCCAAACAGACATTCTTCATAAATATGGCTGAAGTTGCCTAACAATAATCTTGAGAAAAGCAGAAATCTCATAAATTCAAGACAGAGAATCTCACCTTCACATTGCTGTCAGATGAGAGAATGCAAACAGGTCTGCAGAACATGCACTATGTTAGGAGAGTGGGCACATGCTGAGCCCAGAATGTAACCATGCTGCAAGCAAAGCCCTGGAGCAGGAGCCCAGAGCTGCTCCTCAGAGGCTGCAGAGAGGACAGTCCAGGAGCACACTCCTGCCTGCCTACAGCTCTGACAAAGGGCAGAGGCAGTGCTATGCTTTCATTAGGTGCAGAGCTTGCTCAGTGCCCAGGGAATAGATACAGCACAGAACAGGCAACCCAGCTGAGTTGTGATACACTCAAGAAGGAGAAATCCCTCTGCTTCAGTTAGCCAGGAAGGACAATGCTTCCCTGCCACCCATTTTCCAAAAGCCCAAAGTCACAGCTTATCACAGGAGGAGAAGGACCTAACAGTGCCAGCTTTGGGATTATGTCCAGCCTCCTCTCCAGATGCAAAAGCAGGGGTAAAGAGCAGGTGGACACAGCACTGTGGAAAGCCAGAGCTGCTTCTGAGACTCAAAATCAGGCAGTACCTGCAGTGAGCCTGCTCAAGCAACTGGGAAAGTAAGTGATTTGGGGAACAGGAAGGACAACACCTCTTTTGTGTGAAGAGTATTTCACAAGAACAGGAGCCAATTCCTGTCATACAAACAGTATAAGAAAGATGGGGAGTGGGCAGAAATCCCAAGCACAAGACAAAAGCAGAGACTTAGAGAAATCTGTTTCTTTCTCTCCTTAACTCTGTTCCCACCACAGGAGATACTGTCCTGGACCACCTCTCTCCCCCATATCCCAGGGACAGGCATGAGAGCTGTCAGGTAAAACAGACACAGATGGACAGGCACAAGCATGGAAAGCTGCCCCAGTGTCATCTCCATCTGTCACTTGGACATGACTTGAGTAAGGGCCACAGACACAGATGGACACCATTTTGAAGCAGGGCTTTCTACCTCACAGGGACCAAAACTGTGACACAGGCTTTCTCCTGCTAACAAAAATCTTTCATCATCAGTGTGATTCAGGAGGACTTCTATTACTCCTGAAGTACTGTAGCCTGGATGCTGCATAATCAAAGAGATGGAAAGAAATCAGAAAAAGCTCATTAATATAATTTGTTTCATAAGCTAAGGGGACCATCACAAAATAAAATTTAAAAAAAAAAAAAGCCCGCAATTACTGGAAAAATGGCTCAATAAAACTTTTTAATTTTGAAGCAACATCTTCTGTCTATCAAGCAGGTTGGGAATGACCATAATTTGATTAAACCTTGAACTTCTACCTAGTAGTTTGGGAATTGCCTGATCAGGTCAAAAAAAGCAACCAGAGCCACCAGGGCTAGGTCTTCAACAGTGGCATAATCCAAAACTGAAACTATCCTGGAAGTTTCAACTAACTACATCAGCTACTAGTTTATTAGCTCTTATTTACCATTCATTATAAGTTATTCCTTCTAATGTAATTACTGTATCATTGTTGCTGACTAACATAAAGCATTTAACTGAGTGGTGAGTGCATTCCCTCAGGTGTGAGGGTGCCCACTGAAACCCCAAAGAGGCAGAGAGGTCATTCAAATCTCATAGTGCTTTTACAGGAAACATAATTCCTTCCTTAGAGAAAAACTTGCTTGGAAGCTGTATCAAACCCAATCCTTGCTTCTTGTGGGCATTTGCTATCCCTCCATCACATATTCAAATGTTTTTGTCTCATTTAACATTTGTACATTATGAGAGGAATCTGTGACAAAGGGAGCATTAGGTAACATGGTCAGGCTTCTGCAACAGCATGGACTGAGAGCTGCTCTGAAAGACCCTCTCTACTCCTGTAACTTTTTGGGCTGTTATATACAGCATAAAAATGTCCAAACTCATCAGCAGACCAGAAGATTAAAAATCCTCCTTTGGAATTTGTTCTAACAATTCATCTCCTAATGCAAAGTTACATGTATGAATGTACCATTACTCTGCCCTGCCCTTGGTTTTCCATTTCACCTTCTTCCAGAAACTGGAAAAGTTTTAACTCCCTTCTTTCCTGGCACAAAGGTGATTTCATCTCTTTCTCAATCATCCTATGAGATAAACAACCTTCCAGTCTCTTGTTGTAAGACACCCAGTTTAATTACAAGAAAGGGCTGTAACCCTTCTCTGCACCACCTCTAATATTTACCATTTCCTTTTACAATACAGCCCAAACTATTTCAGAGGCATCACCAATAAGTATACAGAGGTAAAAAATCAGTCTCTTAATCTGTCTAGTTGTTTCCTCCCCTCTACACAACTGAGGTCAAGATGGGGGGGTGGGAGCATTTGCCCAGCACCACTGGGGAGATGCCTGTGCTGCCTTTCTGCTCTCCTTCCCTACTCCTCCACACTGCACAGTCTGCCTGACCTCTTCTCTGAGGTTGGGCTCTCTGCCCAATTTTTAACTTGTACGTGGCCCCTGAGCTGATCAAATGCAGCTCCTCCTGCCCCACACTGAACAACCCTCTGCTGGCTCTGAAAGGACAAGCCCACAGGGGCTCCTTACACAGAGCTGCCAAATGCTGCTTCTCACTAGAGAGGTAGCTCTTACTTTCTCTGCTTTACTTCATGTTTGGTTAAACACAAAGACGTCTTGTGTGGGCCCTGTACACCAAGCAACCCTGGCTGCTCTGTCCAACAGCCTCAGCTTTGTTCACCCCTCTGCCAGTATTCGTCCCATGCAGAAATTTTATCTGCAGCTATTTGATATTCATTGCTCTATCAGATGCAAACACTGAATAACATTTGACCTACATCTTGATTCTGGCAGAATAATTCTGGGAAGTTCTCCCTTGATAGCTTACAGGTTTTGTCATCTGCTATTTAGCTACACTATCGTGCACCCTATGTGTTGCCCATCCACTTCACTGGGATATTCCTCTCAGCACCACGTGTCATGAAATCAAATGTTTTCTAAAAATCTATTATATCTATGTGGCTACATTTAGTCAACTAAACTTCTAATTACCAAGAATAAAACTGGTTTTCAAGAGTCCTGTCAAAGAGCATCTTCTACATTCCTATCCTTTAATTACCTAGCAGGTGAATCAAGTTCCTATTCTTCTGACCGGGTCTGATGTCAGGCCCACCAGCCCATCATTAGCTGCATCCTCACTCTGCTCTTTTTGAACTCCTGGTATGAGCCCACAGATTTGGCATTTCTGACTCATACACACTTGGTTAACATTTTGAGGCTCCTGAGAGCAAATTAACATTAATGGGAGGGAAGTTCTACTTCCTGTCCTGCCCATTCGGAAACTTCAGAGGATTCAAGAAGTGGAATTTCTGAAGAGGTTTGGAAGAAATAGAATTGGCACCAGTCTCCAGTGCTACAGAAGGAGGCTCACCTCCCTTGCCCTCCTACAAACCACATTTCCAAGACACATTCTGGCTCAGCTACTCACCAGGCAGGCAGGCAACTCCACTCCTGAGCACTTCTGGGTTCACATCCTTGACTATCGTAGGTGCAAAGTGACCACCCCAGGCAGTTCCACAAGTTGGGGATGTCGGGGGAGTAACAGGAGGTGAAGTTTCCTCCAGGGCACTGCTTTTACTCACTGGTTTCAACACACCTGTGCCAGTTGCCTCTTTTCTCATCTCTGTCTCTTCTGGCATCATCCCTGTAAGACAAGCAACAAACAGAAGCTCGAGCAGAGTTCCACCCAAAAGATCCCAGGTAAGTACCAGACTGGGGAGAGATGTGCTCCCAGCTCCAGCACTCTGCAGCTCCTCCAGCCCTTTAGCCAGCAGCATGCATGTTCTAAAACTGGTTATAACATTAATACTACTGTAATTCTATAAAAAGAAACCAATTTATTGTAAAGTTTGCAAAGTATAAAAGCTCAATTCAGATGGGGATTACTGTAGTCAAAGTTCTTTCTAAAGGTAACATATCAAGCAGTACATGTCTGCTCACAGCCTGGAAGTCTGGCACACTGCAAGTCCCTGGCTGAGCTCCAGCAGCCTGAGCATGCTGAAGTGATAAACCAGCTTCTGACAGGGAGGGCTACTCCATCAGGACAGAATTACACCCCCAACACCACTTTCAGTTAGTTCCTGAAAATATGAAGTCAACTGGAGGCTGACAGATCAGCTGGAAATTAGCCAAAGAGACCCTGTTCTCCTTGTCCAGCCTTTTTTAATTAACATTTAACTTGAAAGTCAAGAACACATTTAAAAACACAGAAGAACAGGATGATTACACCAATCAGCTCCTGCTCAAGAACTGCAGAAAATGCTTCCTTTGTCTGATACCTCAGCTCTAAAGTACAAGTTATCAGAATCAGTTAATTCTAAAATTAAATATCTGGGCTACTACATGGAAACTAAAGCTAGTTCTATCAAGTTTCAATTTTCATGTAAAATTATCTGGAAAGAAGGAAAAAAAGTATCTACCCATGGGGAAGTATTATTCCCCATTTCCCAACATCACAAGAATTAGAAGCCAACAGTACATCTTCAATAATAGATCTTTAGTATCCTAAGTACCCAACTAGGCTATCCCTGTGTTTGCAGTAAGCTACACTAAATAAAATACTAAACTTCACTACTAAACCTGATACTTCAGTATCTATCAACAAAAATATCAACATTTCTTCACGGAAATAAGAGTGGAATATTTATTTGCTTGCTCTGAAGTCAGACATTTTAATTGCTATTTAAAATTTACTTCAACCATCCTACCTTCCTGCTGCATCAACAATGCTGACACTTGACTCAGTTTATTTACTAACAGATTCCAATACTTCATTAAAGAGCAGGACCAGGAACAAAGCAGTCCTTGAAGTGGCTTTCAGTACAAGTTTTAGCAGTGAAGGAGATTTACAGGTTGAAGCTTAGCCTGAACTGCTTTCAAAATTGCTAAAATGGGTGAGAGAAGTGCCCTGAGCAGCATGGCTCACTGCAACAAATCATGCAGCAGTGGGGGAAACTAGGAGGAGCTCCCAGGCACTGCACCATCAAGGGCATGATAGAATAGCTGCTCATTCCTCTTTGGTAACACCACTGGCTGAGGAGCATCCCTGGGATGCAGCCTGGCATCTGCTGCATTTGGCCACATAAGCTGCTGTGATGGCTTCAGGGCTCTGCCCAGTTCTGGGCTGTACCAGAGTCCCACTCTGTTCCTAGGGGGACGTCAGCCTCCACTTCCCAGTGGTGCAAGAGGTCATCCACTTCAAACACTGCCACATCTTCCTGAGCAGCACTTTAGAGGGGCACTGATCTCCTGCAGAAAGGGTATCCTGAACATCACAGAGTCATGGAAGTTGTGCCCAAAGGATTCACACTAAGAGCTGGTAGACTTTCTAGGAGAACATGGAATCACCTTATCAATGAGCTGTAAGGACTGGCAGTAGGAAGAACTACACGGTTTGTAGTGAAGGAGTCTGCATTAAATGACAAAAGCCTGCAAGGAGGACCAAAATGTGAGATTTCAAGAGGACAAGAAACAGAACATAGCTGTGTTCCACATAGGTTACACACCAGGGCAAGAGAAATACATAAATGTATGTGACAGTCCTGCCTTGGATATCTCTTAGGAACGAGGCAGCAGCTCCCAAAAGATAGGAAAGATTTTGCTCAGCCCACCATACACAGTCACGGTACCAGGGCTTTTCAGCCCTGGGGAAACTTCACTAAAGCTGTGCAGCCTCCAGACTATGCACATCTTGGCCAAACAAAACTCTTCCCTGAGCTCCTGAAGGCCAGCTCAGATGTGCAGATGCCAGCTCTCCCAAACAGGCCCAAGTGCACTGTTTGTTATTCACAGTCCGGGCGGAGGCACTCACTAAAGCGGAAATTGTCCAATGCGGAGGATTACATCTAAAAGCAAATTGAGAACAGGGACATCTGAATTTGCCGTGTTTGCAGGTTCCACCTTTCCCCGAGGTCAAGGAAGTGGTAGAGGAGGATTTGCTTGTGTGCATTTCAAAGAGACATTAGCATTTTCCCTGCAAACTGCCCCAGCACCAGTATCACCTATGCTAACATGAGGTAGTAACCGGGACCAGGAATGGAACGCCCTAACAGGTGCTGCTGAATATGCCCCAGTGTGGCTTTTCAGACTATTTCTTGAATATCAAGATATTTTCCACCCACAAAATAGAGGCATTCTTTCCAGAGCTGTGAAGTTTCAAAATCCACTTTCATTTAGATGTTAGTCATTAGGAAAAAACAGCAGTCACATTATCTGTGAATGGAACCAGTGTAAATTTTAAGCCACTAACTCAAAACAGGTCACATTTGACTTCAGACTTTTTTCTATTTATATCTAAGTCTTTCTAAGTTAGACTCTATTTGTGCACAAAATAAGCTCACTGAGAATGGAAGTAAAGGGAGAGAGTTAAGGGACAAGGAAAAACATGCAGACACAGCAAACTCAGATGCCCCAGTTCTGAACATGTATTTTGACATAATCAACAATATCTGCTGTAACAAGCAAGCTCCTCCACCTCACACAAAGCAAATTGTGCCTCTGCCCACTGCTGCTGAGGTGTGAATTTCAGATCTGAATTGACCCAGTAAAGCTTAAGCTTTGTTGTTATTTATAGTTTAGGCAAGATACCCACAGTTTCCAATCATAGTAGCAAAATGACCTCAACAAGACACAGAGAATTTAACCTACAGAACCACCTTGCTGGAAAAGTGAAGTCCATTTGTAGGACATTTGCTGTGCTTTGTAATTTTATCTCTGAATTATCTTGTAAGTACATCTCTGAGGGTTTAATGGGGCTAGATAAGGAGATGGCTTGTTTGGATCTCAAAGCAATCTAATGTAATTGAATGGATTAAGCTTTTTATAGTGCCAGCTCTAGTGTTTAAGAAGTACTGCCAGCATTAACAGATACTTGAGCTTCCCTTTGCCACAAAAAGTTTATTTGGACACTTTGGATGGTTTTCCTGGCAATTTAGGTTGTTTCTTTTGCTTTACAAACACTGAGAAAAAAGGTTTGAATTTTTCTTAAACTGCAATGCCCAAGTTTAACATCAGCAGACTTGAACCAAAAGTGTCACTTATTTCAGCCAAATCCCCAAAATCATTTTTATTGTCTTTCATTAAAAACAAACTCTGTGTGTACCCAAGAGGAGTCCACCACTGCTAAAATCTCCAGCAGTGGCCAAGATTTATTCTTTGGATCAGTGAGAACATCACACATCTCATAACAAGCTGGACCTGGTTAATTTTAAAAGGAAAGAGATGGGAACACTCTACAAGCAATCACAGCACTCATGAGCAAAGTGTCCACCCAGTACTAAACACGGACTAGGTGTTCCAAGGCCTGGTCCTGAGCAAGCAAGAAGTCAGGCCAGGTTCAGGTTGGCCAGGGGAATGGACACCCACAGCATGGATATTTCCTCACATATATCCACCAAGACCCACAGATAGGCAGAAGGTGATTTTTTTTTTTTTCTGCTCATGGTGACAGATGCTCAGACAGATGTGCGCTGCAGAAATAGAAATTCTGAGCTGACCCCTCCATTTTGCAAAAGTGAAATGCTTGTCACTTCAAAAGTATCAGAAATGCCTGGTAACCCCGGGCTTGCCTAACTATAGATTTGTTTGATGCAAATGTTAATGAAGTTTTATTTTAATCAGTGGACACTAATTTAGCTCCATTAGAAGGTCACTAAGATATCAGGTAAAATGTGAGTTTTGGGCACCTGAGAAGCAGCTGTGTATGCAATCGAATGGAATCATGCAGCAGCTCTTGGCCACATAATTTGGGACAAGGGCAAGCATTACAGTGGCAGCACATCCCAAGACAACCAGCTCTGGATCTGTTGCCCCAGAGGCCCAAACATGCTCTAGCAACGTGGGTCTGTACGCCAACCCTTTCAAGAGTCCTCACTCCAACATTTCAAGCTGGGTAATTTTCCTAGCCAGGGGTCTCAGGGAATGAGAGCTGCTGAACTGGAATGGCATGTTCCGCCCGCCCCCGCCGCACACCCGCTCCTCTGTGTCATCTGCATATCGAGCTGCAGCTTTCCAGACTCAGCAGAGCTGGGCAAAGCCCACACCGGGCCCCTGCGGTTACACACCGCCTGCCTACAGTCTGCTGCAAAAGGCACACACCTGGATTGCCCTCTCAGTCCTCCTGAAGCAGCACAGCTCCAGCTCAGGAACCCAAGCGTCAAGAAATCTGGGTAATACCTGCTTGAACATTCCATCTGAGTTAGATGCTTCATTTCTGTGCTCTCCCACTCAAGTTAAACAGCTCCTACTTGAAACACAATCGAGCTGAAGAAAGCATGCCGGAGGGGAAGGCAGGGAAGAGGGGGGAATCCCTCAGCTCTGCAGCTTGCTGCCTGAATCAGTTAACAGCACATACATTTGTTGATCTTCAGGTCACATTACACAACTAGTATTTTACTGTGGCATCCACTGCTGCTTCCTCTTGCCACAGCCATCTTCCTAAAGCCAGTTTTCAACTATGAAAGACTTGTACAGTTAGACAAGTCTCTCCTCATACATTCTGCACATCATGAACGTAAGCAGGAGGAGGCCACCAGCAATCAGATTAACTGAAATTAAAAGCTTCTTCCAATGGAATTTTGTTCTGTACCAACGTAAATTAGCAAAGAATTATTAAACAAAATACCACAATAAACCCACCTGTGAAGAGAAAGCTAATTTCATGCCACAAAAAATGACAATTTATCTCTTCCCAGCATTTTGTGCTATTACCCCAAAGCCTCCCACATGTATTTATCAAATCCTGCCTGATAAGTAGTATTCAAGCAGTACCCTTGAGGATTTTGCTTTCAATCCATGTTACCAAATACAACCAACAAACACTCAATGGTTGTACCTTTAGGAGGTGATGCCCCCGATGATGCCTCTGGCTGGGAGTGCAGAGTGGTAGGCTCTGTATGCCCCTCAGCAGATCCTGTGGACAGTGGTCCACCCTCCAATTCCTCCTCAATGGATTCCAGTGTTTTTGAGGCTGTAGTCTTCAACCTTTCCCTGTAAGAACAACTTTCCTGGTTCTCCACCTGTCCCTGCAAGTCCTGTATTGCAACATGCTCCCGGTTCAGCAGAGAATTCTCTTCACTTTCACAGCCATGGTTTTCCACCAGCCTTTGCGGTTCCTCAAAAGTCCCTCCAGACCTCTGCGTTTTGAACAGACTTGAATCCTCTTCTTGTGCACTGGGAGCCAACAAGTCACTGTTATTTAGTTGTTCTGCCATCTGATTCTCCTCTGCTGACTGGGCAGTTTTGAGTGGTATGGCTTCTTCAGCCTTTTTATGCTCTTGCTCTTCACCACCTGACAAGGTTCCATCCGCTGGAGCTTTCACAGAACAGTGACTATGACTAGTCTGATTTTCATTTACAGTCAACATTTCTTGAGACTCTTTCACTTCCTCTTGGCTGTCCCTTCTTCCCACCTCAAATTCATCTACATCTCCTTGGCTCTCTTCTGGAGGACTTAATGCAGAACTGCTATTTGCCTCATTATCGCTGCAGCCAGCACTTACATCTGCCATGTTCCCTGAAGGAGAGCCTCTCTCCTCACCTACCTCTGAATTCTCAGGCAATGTAGTGACCTGAACTGGCTCAACACTTCCACTGACAACCTGGCAAGAGACATCAGAAGCTTCCTTTAGTGTGCAACATGGTCCCAAAGGCCCTAGGACAGGTCCAGAAGAAGCATCCATCAGTGTCACCTCCTTTTGACCCTCAGTCAGTGGTTCTGTGCGTACTCCCAGCATCACTTCCTCTTTAGCAGCAGTAGCATCTAGAATCACTTCTGGGCTCTGCTCCAATGTTTCAACACCAGCATTTTCACTAGGTCCACCCCTTTGTCCCTCCACGTTTCCAGGGGCACCAGACACTCGTGCCCTGCAGCTGACAGCATCTCCAGCACACACATCAGTGTAGCTGCACAGTGCGTATCGCTCACCGTGAGTCTCCCGCTCTACGGATGAATCTTCTGCACGGCAAGTGGGAGGCTCAGCCATAGGAAAGTTATCACCCATACTTCCAGGATCAGCTGGTATCAGCTGACCTTCTGGGGACAGTTCTCCATGTGCCATCACTTTGTTGCCTTCCAACGGAGTAACATTTTTGAGAACTTCTGGAGAAGCGCTCAGAGTGTCCATTTGACAGTGCTCTTTCTGCATAAGTGCTGACTGAATTAAGTTCTTGGAGTAGGTGCTGTCTTGTATGACAATAAACCTGTGCTTGCCTTTAGACTCATTCACTCGTGCCCTGGGCTGAGTTAAATAACTTAATGCCAGCGACTGTGTTAAAGATCCTGTTTGTGGCCCAAATCTGGGCAGTGAAACTTCTGCCAGCTCAACATACTCTCCTTCAAGGTCACTTTCCAAGTTCTCTTGAGTCACAGGACTTGTACAGACACCATTGATCAGAGCTTCATTGAACTGTGGAGCTGTGCTGCTAATGACAGGGTTGTCTCGATTTGAGCTTAATTCTTGTAGATACTGAGACCTCAGGTCTGGTGAACCGCACTTAGTACGGTCCGTGGAGAGGCACAAAATTGAACGTTCCTCTGTTATTTCTGGAGAGATGATATTGTTTTCAATTATTTTTGGTTTATTTATAAATTCAGGATTAACCACTTTATCCCAGGGGACACGAAATATTTTGTCATCAGTGGTTAGTAAACAATTTTCCAGTGCTATGCCCATCCGCTCTCCATTGAACGTACTCAACCATTCCAGAGTAAAAATAGAGGTATATGAAACTTCTGGAATCACCACTTCTTCTACATTATGCTTATCTTTTGCCAAACATTTCAGTACAATCCGTGGAGGCTTCTTCAGAGAGGGGACCACCTGCAGGTAGAAGTCACCAGGCTTCAAGATTTGCCAGTCAATGGAAGCTAGCTGGATTACAATCTTCTCTTGAATACACAGGGGCCAGCCTGCATGGCGAAACAGCAACCCGCAGTACGGAGCCTGTGGAGACAAGAGAACGTGTTTTCAGCACCAGCAAAAGATCTCAGCTCAAGCTTCTCTGTAAGAGATCAAGAAAACAGATGAATTTAGAGTCTTTGCTTATTGCAAGTTTTCCACACTAAGGTCTTCTCTTGAAAAAGCAGAAATAAGAAAATCTACCAACACAAACCACCCATGCAGGACAGGTGGGCACAAGTTAGACTGGGAAGCTGCAACACCCCACTGAAGAGGACAGTGCAAAAACAAAACAGGAGATAGGAAGCAGCAAATGAGGAAAGCACAGCAGAGCTACAGAGAAAGAAAGCAGCAAATGCCATCAGCAAGCTGTGAGGAACCACACTTAACATACCAGCAATTTACTCATTCCCAAAACATAGCAGCACTCAGGCCATGCCTCAGACAAATCCCACCCAAGTAAAAGAACTGAAGTTTCATGGCTGAACTGACTTGACTCAATTATTTACAGCTTTATCACAACTTCAAAAAATAAAGTCCAGTGCTTTGAACTTGATTCTGTTTGGATAAGATTTAAATTAAGCCATTCTATAAGCCATCAATTCCACAATTAATTTCATCTTTTTCTGTATGACGAGGCTTTGGATTCAATTAATTCAAGTATTTTGCCATACAGCAGAGAAACCAGAGAACAGAAAGGAACTTCCTGGATCCTCACACATCTTGAAACAACAGGTATTGACATAAAGCAATTTCTTTCTTATGTTCATCAAGCCTTCAGCCCCACCTGAAGCGAAGTTGCTCACAGGCTTAGAAACCCAAATCATCCTTCAGATTCAGTAATTCCTCCTCCTCCTCAATCCTCTATTTTCTGGATGTGTTTTCATTGCTTAGACTTATTAACCCATGTCACATGACCTTAGCATGTCTACCTTCATCATCTCCTCAGTGTGCCTGAAGTATCTCCTTTGTAACGCCCATTTCTTTTTCTTAAAAACCATTTTCATTGTGCAAAGCATTGTAAAACATGGCCTGTAATGGCATCACCACTTCCCAAATGTGCTTCCTAGAAGCATCTCTTAAAGCTAAGATCCCACTTGTCTTCCAGTCACGCTCCTACAGTAACCCAGTCACCTACTGGTTTTTCTTTGCAAACTGATGAACTCCAGTTCACAACAGAAGTTCTGCCTCCCACTTTGTGGAGGCACATGCTTGCCCTCTGAGTCTACCATTAGAAAATTTAAGTACAAAGTTTTAGAGCTCATCTTGTGCAATGCATTTATCACCCTCCTCTGCCGGGTTATAGTTTGTGTGTCCCAGGCTGGTTTCACCACAAACATGCCATACATACTCTTACTTTTTATGCCAAGGTCATGGATGAGAAGCACGGTGTGCTTCATGACTCCTGCCTCCAACTCCATTTTCCCCCCAGTACAAACACCCTCCCTCCCTTTCACCAGTTTGTAGCCATCTTGCAATTCTTGCATAAACCTCAACCCCTTTGACACAGTAATTAATCTTCCATATGACTCCATAATAAATCCTTTATGGCAGAGATTAAACAATGGAACTTATCTCTCTAGAGAGAGTTGGTTTATTAAAAAGGCTGTTGTGACACTACCTGCCATGGAGCAAACCACATGAAAACGTTATTCAGTTTTTCATGGGTCAGTTAATTCAGTCCTTGCTCAGTGCACAATGTTGTAGGCTCAGCTTGTTCTCTGTATTTTGTTACTAGTCCTGACTTAACAGATTCAATAAAATCCCTGCTACCAGACATTCAGCATCATATGGTAACTTCTTCCATATTCCAGGATGGAGACCTGCCAGTCCTATTTCTTCAAAATAGTCAAGTTCAGTCACAGTAGTTTTGCTTCTGTTCACTTACTGCTACTGCCTAACTAATGTACTTACACACTGTATCACTACAAAAAGAAACCTTACTTTAGTTTTCATTTACTTGAAGGATCATATTAATATTACCTTTCTATTCTAACCTTGACTCAGAGCAGACACACATCCCCTTCTTTCCTCGTTCTATGAAGTTAGAACCAAAAAGCCCTCTAACCTGACACACAGCTGCTTGTACTTCCCTCAAAGGCACAGCTGGGCAGTCTGATGTTCCCAGGCTTTCTGATCAGCAAGGCACAGATGCCTCTGTCACTAAGCTCCTTTCATCCACAATGCAGTTAAACTCAGCAAACCAAGACCAAGACCCTATTAAGGCCAAGGGTCTGTACCAAGGGTCTTTCAGGGGAAAAAGAGGCAGATGAAGATCAGTTCCCAAACTATTATAGCTCACAGGACTGAAAAGTGACAATCAGCAGCAGCGTAAACATAAAGCTGAATTCCATCAGCACATACTTGACATAGAGATTCTGTTAGAATTTGGATGCAGAGTAACCCACTGGAGGGTCACTCATACATTAAGAAATTCCAAACAGCCTCCCTGTTTAGATGCTTACTTGTCTGCCTACTGACTCATAAGGAGAAAACTCAGCAATAAAATCACCAAAACCAAAATGCAGAATGCATTGAAGTTCCTGAAAAGCCCTACAAAGCCACAATCTAAACTGCATCAGGAGCCAGAGTAACATCCAAAACAGGAATGCAAGTCCCACAATAGCCTAAACATTACAGAGCTTTAGAACTTTAGTAAGTGGAGCATCCTCAGGCTGCTCCTGTTCCAAAATGCACCTTCAAAGGGAAGATTATGTGAAGAGGCTTATTACAGTACCTTTAACATCTCATTTTGAGGCTCAAGGATTTGCTTTTCTCGTGTCCAAACACTACAGAGCCAAACCAGGCCCACCAGAGGAGTGCCAGGAACACCCTCTACACCCAGTGGCTGCAGCCAGGAATAAAGCTGCCTCTGAAGAAAGAGCTGGGCACCAATGACAAAAATGGCACAAAAGTGGAATCTTCTAAAGCTACAGGGATGGTTAAGCTGGAACAGACCATTTAGCTCAGGACATCACCTCAAAGCCAGGGACAAAATCTGGTTTTTAACTTTGTGCAAAGCAGAGACAGACCTCCTTGGAACACCCCCTCCAGACCCTGAGGAATCACTCACAGGCTGATGATTTTAATACACCCAACTGATGCCCATGAACTTGTCTAACACTTCATGAAGCCATTTACACTTTTGTCACTGCAGAGGCTGACAAAAGATCCAGTGCTCTCTAGACTTTCTACAGTAGTCATTCAGACATGAGTTAATTTTTTGCCCTCTAGTGTGTTTAGGAAACGCTCACACGGAGCAGCTGAACTACAAACTAGGGAAAAAGTACTGCTTTTGTTTAGACTGTCTAAAAACTAGGCAAGACTTTCAAAAGGCAATTAGTAAGAAACAGTCCCATGTGATTTCAGACTATAAAGATGAAGGCGCATACAGTGGAGGTTTGAGGAAGAAGAGCCCACAGCAAATTAAACAAATTTCATAAATAAGAAATAATAAATTTAAAATATCAAACAAGCAGACTTTTAAATAAAATATGGAATAGCCTGGGCCCAACTCTAAAGAGGGTACAAGGTACCAGAGCTTCCCTTGATCTCCCGGTACTAGCACTCCAGAAGCAAAAATCACGAGTCACGGCCTGAAAATGTCACAACCAAGTAAGAAAAGATCTTGCTGACCACTCTCCCAGACATTTCACACCTCACCAAAAGCCCCCAATACCTAATACTAAGCCGTGTGCAGCCCTCCCTAAAGGCAGCTGCCCAACCCACATCTTGTTGGTCAGCTGGGTGGGCCACCAGCATCCTGGGCTTCTCCAGCGCCCACTGGCCTCATACTTCCCTTATCAGGACCCCGAGCTCCACCTGCCCTCCCCTCTCCCTCCTCAGGACACCCAGCACCCATTGCCCTCACACCTCTCCCTCCTCGGGACGCCCACCACCCATTTCCCTCACACCTCTCCCTCCTCACGGCCGAGCACTGCAGCGCCTCGTGTTCCAACGGCCCTCCAACAGCCACCGAAGCCACCGTGCCCGTCAAGGCGGCCCCGCGCTGTTATTGGCTGCTGCAGCCCCCGCGGTCCTCCCATTGGCTGCCGGGCGGCGGAGGCCCGCCCAGCCGCCCTGCCCGCGTTCCCCCGTGCGCCCCGAGGGCCGCGGTGGTTGCGCGGTGGTTGGGCGGCCTTTGCCCTGCGTTCCTCGGGCCCTGGTCCCAACGGCTCCCCTCAGGGACAGCAGCACCGTGCGCCCACCTCACTGCTGCTTTCTTGCCTTCCCCTTCACCGCCTCACCTGCCCAAGGCACCGCTGGCCGCTCAGAAGCTGCCGGGATCTCGAGAAGTGGGGAAATTGCTACCTTGGCTCCTTCAGCGAGGGCGGTGTTTTGGGGAAAGCCGTGAAACATCTTGAAATAATTACCAGTTTGTACAAACGAAAAGACTTTTGTTTCTTTAAAGGGGAAAAACACACTATGCACCATAGAATTAGAAGCTCCAATTACAGATACTGATGGAATAACATCTATTCCAGTGTTCAGGGTGGGAGAGAGCAGCAAGGTCATGCACCACCTTGGATCCTCCTCAACTCACAAAGACGGCTGGCACCAAGCTGGAGGCTGGTGACAATACGGGGTGACAAACACACCAAAACACACTTTCAAGATGCCTAGCTCACATGGATCCATCCTGTGTGATGGGTCTGTCCCCCCAGTATTTAATTTCTTTGAAACAAATGAGTAAATGACTATTTCAGTCTCTATTCCATATTTTTCCTCTTCCTAGAAATTCCTTGCCCTCTACCATGAGGACTTGAATTGAAAGCCTGGCCACATGCCCCCTTTACATTCAGAGACAAAGAAGTTAGAACAAACCTACCTTTTAGGTTGTTTGGGCTGGTTGGGTTTTTTTTCATCTTGCAGACTTCGAGCCAAGTTTTGGAGGTGTTTGACTCATCGTTTCTAACATTTTAGACTCCCAACAGTAAAGCACGTTAATCTTGGACTCGTTCTGGCAGTAAATGTAACGTGACTCCTCGGGGCTACTGAGCCTTGTGACCGTTCCAGCAACCATCAAAGGGGAGCTGGAGTTTTGGAAAAACACCGACTGAAAGCATTTCTCCCTGCACGTCATTGTGCCAGTGGCAGGAGCCCGACAGCTTCATCCACAGGCCCAGAGAACAGCTGGGGTCAGAGGCCACCCTGGTCAGACACATCTAGCAAACACTTTGCTAAACCTCTTCCTGTGAATCCCTTAAGCCCTTGGTGTTCCTGATTACGGAAACGGAGAGCACTGCTCCACACCTGAACGCTGATCTCTGAAGGGTTAAGCTTCAACAACAATTTCTCAACTATTTCCTAATTGTCTGCCTGCCCTCCCACCTAGACTGCCATACATACTCAAGCACTTTTTGCCAGCCGTTTTGCATACAAGAGCAGAAAGAAAACTCTCCAAGAAAGCCTTCACATGCCTTAGAGAGCATGATGTACTCACACAGGCATCCTGCTGAATGCACTGCAGGATGTGCTTAGCTGGAATCAGGAAGTCTATGAGGTAGTGCAGTCCATCCCCACGGTACGTCTTCTCCACCACATCAAAAACTTGGCACAGAACAGTGGCTGCGGTAGCCTCAAATGGAGGGTAGAGTGCTGATAACGTGCTCTGAATGCAGCCGTCCAGTGACTCCGAGTCCTGCCGAGAGAGAAAGCATTAGTGGGACTGGGGCACGATCCGCCCAACGCCCAGGAGCGCGGCCATCGCCAAACGCAGGAGGAACAAAGATCAAAGGAGCCAAGTGCTGTCCTTTCTGGCTTCTTTTGGCACTAGAGTTTGCAGGTAAACACAGAAAAGCTCTCCCAAACCAGGAGTGGAGTGCTCGCAGAGCGCTTCACACAGGATTGCCAGCTTTTGCTTACGCAGCAAGTCCTTGTGCTGCCTGCGCGGGGTGGGGCGGCTGTTAGACCACACCGCAGCACGTGAGCGCGTGCAAGACAGACAGCCATGGGGTGGGCATCACCAGCCCTGTCCATGGTTTGGGGACACTCCTTGGTGGGCTAAGGGCACCTGCAGTGGGCTGAAGCTCCTCAGCCTCCTATGCTCTGGAGTCCCAGCCCAGGATGAGGTGCCAGAACTGTTTGGTTCTGTGGAAAGCCATTCTCCAGAGCGACTCCTCGTTATTCAAAGCTGTTTGCCTCTCATGAAAGGCTCTACTGCAGGAGCCAGGAGATTTTTGCAGTGCGAGATGCCTCACATGAGGATTCACACAATGTGTGTGAGCAGGACTGCCTGTGGTCCCTGAGCACACTCATTGATACCTAGGATGCCTGTTCAGGGGGATCGGAGGAAATGGCTTGCCTGCATCCACCTTCATTTGGGAGAACCTGCCAGCCAGAGCCTGCCCATAGTGTCAGGACCAATTCCAGTGCTGGAGGCCAAATTCTGAGTTATTGCATGGGTGTAAATCAAGAGAGCTTGCCAAAAAGTAACAATTAAAAAAAAATATAAAGCTGTACATATCTGGAGAGAGGATCAGGATCTCTCCTTTCTTTTCTATTTTAGAGGGGATCCCTTGGGCTAGCTTACAGCCACTGGGAGTAAGTTTTGCTCCAAAACCAAATCAAGTTTACTCAGGTGTCTGGCCAGATCCTCATCTGATCCAAATCCACCTCCTTTCACTAGAGACAAGAAAAGCACTTCAGCTGCTTACGCAGAAGCTCTACAGCCTCCTGTAGAACAGGAACAACTGCATGAACATGCCTGAAAATACACTTCAGTCCCACAGCAAGACTGGGAGAGAAAGTTAAACAAAGCAGTGCCACAATAGCTTACACCACAACCAGGGAACAGTAGAACAAGGGGATCAGGAGGAAACAAATGGTTTCACTGCTTCCATCCATTGCAGCACATCTCTGAAGATGCCTCCACCAGCCTGAGAAAGTTCAACAGTCTCAGAGCAAGCCTGAACTGACCTGCAGCCCAGCAGAGATGATGCTCCTCACACAAGCCTTCCCATCTCTTGCAGCTTACCGATCTCCAGGTTCCTCCTTTAGAGGGTTGGGTGTTTAAGCACAACATAAACTCCCTGCTGTGATGCAAAGCCACCTTGTAGGACAGCCTATGGGACTGCACAGGAGAGGTGAGGACACCCAGGTGATGCCTCCACAATCCCTGCCTGCAATGAGCTGGCAGAACTACGGTGACAGGCAAACCACACATTGCCTGTGGGACAGTACTGCTTCCTTGCCTTTTCTGCTCTTTCTCCTGATGTCAGCAAAAGCAAGGCTAGATGGATGGCAGCAGGCTCCTAAAGTGCCCACACCTTTTCTGAGAGACCAACTGCCTCCTGCAATACTCAAGGCCAATGCAGCTAGATAAACAGAGGTTAAGGAGCTATTTTTCATACACATAGAATCATAGATTATCCTTAGTTGGAATACTTAATCCAGTATTCTTAAGCCAAGAATTCCAAAAGCAAGACCCCTATGTGCACACTCCCTAGAGCTGAATTCTAGGGGATGAGCATTTAACCCTAATTCTAAATAGGAGGAGAAGGCTGTTTTAAACAATTTACTTTCCACTCAGAAAAATAATAACCTCTGTTGATACCAATCAGTCCCAGCAAGTGCCTGTGACCTTGTCAGATAAAACTGGCCTTCACACAGGTGCTTTCCCACCCTACCAGTCACCTTCTTGGGCACTATCATAGCATTGCTGCTGGCAGCAATCTCCCTCTGACCCTCCACAGCCCACAAGTTCAAAACATCAATCAAAACCAGCTGGGGTTTGTTCTGCACCATCTTCTGCTTGAGCAAAATTCTTTCAGATATCAATCCCTCCCCAAAATAAATTTGTTAAGTTCACTGTTGCAAATAAAACAAAGAAGTCAAAATATTTGCACATGAGTCAGTGCATTGCTCTAAGGTTCTCACACCATTCCTCCTGCCTTAGAGTTCACAAAACAATTATTAACATTGGCACCAAATCAAAAATCCTTTATATGGTTAAAATAAACCAGGTTGTACCTTATCCTTTCTTTAGTAAAATTCAAAATAACCATAGCCTGTAGCCATTGCAGAGTGCAGTGCTAACTGCACTCCTGAGCACAGAGGCTTTCTCTCCCTCTGGCTAGATTATACCACAAAGTCATGATAGCTGTGTAGATTTCTAAGGGATAGAGAGAAGTTTTCAACCATTACCTTTTGGTAGAAAGAAATGTTTGCACCAGTCTCTGCTAATTCTGCAGGAAAAGCCCCAAACAAGAAGTAGATTCCCATGTCCCACTGTGCTGCATTGGATTGCAGCACCAGAATCCTTGGGAGGGTACAGAGCACAGTAGCCTCCGTGTGCTGCAGAGGAATGTGGAGGTGACACTGCTCCTCAGTGCTCCCATCCAGGATGGTCACCCAGGGATAGCTCCTGCCTGGAAGGAGGGTGAAACATGGCACTGCCTCAGAAGCCACCTTGAAAATACAGAGGGCAGAACATGGCAGAGCTTGGGGCCTGCAACAGCAACATACTCTCCTTCAGCAGGGGATTCATTAACCCAGCTCACAATCCTAGGGATGGGGCTGCTTATTGGCACTAATTAACTTCTCCGACTGCAGAGGGGCTGGAGGAAAGCACCTCAGCCAGGACTACAAGAGGCCTCATGGAGCTGCTGTGGAACGCCAGAGCACAGATGGGCAGCCTTACACATCCTGCCTGCTGCCAGGGCCTGCTGCCATGCACGTGGGGGAGATGTGGTTTGCAGGCACAGGGAGTTCATAGAAACCAGAGAAAGGGATAGTGCCCTGTGGTCCTGAGGCTGATAAACCTGAAGTCTAGGGACCATCTCACCTACATCATGGAATCATAAAATGAATAATGAAGGGACCACTGGAGGTCATCTAGTCCAACTTCTCTGCTCCAGAATGCCCCAGACCATATTAGGAGCCCCTAGACCTCTGCAGGGTCCCCTGGAGCATGTTACTCCAGACAGCTTTTGAATATCTCCAGAGAAGGAGACTCCACAATCTCTGGGCAACTTGTTCCAGAGGTTCCATCCCTTATCTCAAACAGGCAGTGTAACCCCCAGCAGGCACAAGGAGAAACTTTTGTGACCCGGGATAAGTGAACAGCACCCGGAGAGAAGGAGAACAAGCTAAACCTAAAAGAATCCATGGAGGGGCACTCCTGCCCCAGCACATTTCCACTACAACCAGCTCACAGTGGTCCCCAAGAGCTGGCAGAGCCTGGCACAGGAGCCTGCTGAAAAAAAACCAGCCTCCTTCAGGGACTACACATTTCAAGCTTCCCTGCTTCCAGCACTGTTGCCACATCTCTCTCACAAGAAAGATCCTGGACATGTGCTGCTTTTCAGCCACTGGACACAAACACCAACAGGAGCACTTTCCAAGCAAGCCAGAGAGCATCTCTGCAAGTAAAAGGAGTCTTGGGATTCAAATGGTTCTTTGTCAATAGCACGGGAGGACCTATAAACTCCAGCTCACTGCCACCACTCCACCACACCTCCCAAAAGAGAAACACGCTTTTAAAATAACTCCTCTATAAATCAAGGCGCTAAATAAAGCCCAGGTTAAGGTCATGTCCGGCCAAACTGGCTTTCACTGCTGCTCAGCTGAGAGCCAGCTGCAGGGGCTGGAGCACAGGGACAGAGGAGGAAAGCACCACACAGGGATGGGATGGGATGGGCTCCATGGGCTGAGCCATGTGACAGGAACTACCCAGCATGGTCCCACCCAGGAGGCCAGGAGAGCAGTGAGAACCCAGGAGGAGTTCACAACTGGCAGAGGGCTTGGGTCTGAACCGTGGGTGGGTGCGCTGCCCTCTTTCCCCTGCATATCACAGGAGCCACGGATGCTGTGACAAATAGAGCAATAAAGACTGTTGTGACAAAGCTCTGCTGCTCAGCCCTCAGAGCCCCATTCCATCACAAACTGCAGCAAGAACCAGGAGTCAATCAGAAATGAAGCTGCGAGTGCCTGGGCAGAAGAGGAGCCCAGCAGCTGTTGCAAACCTGCTTAGGGGATGTATCTACTTCTCCTGGTGCAAGTTGACACTGCAGGCTGGAAGAGGAGCCTGTCATGAGGCATCTGGAGTAACCAGGAGCTTCTTAGGCTTTTCTAGGTACACTGATGGAATTTTCTGCCACTGGGAACTCCTGTCATTCTACATTTTTTCTTACTCAGAACTGAACTTCTTCCTCTTCGAGACCTACTGCTCACCAATTAAGTGTGAACCCTGAAGAACCTCCTCCAGGTTTGGAGAACAAAATGTCAGGCTACCTGGGGAGCAGAGAGGTCATCCCCAGGGCTACACACACACTTCACACAGCATCAGAATATCTGTGCTCTTCAAGCAAGAGACAGCAACCCAAGCAGCTCAGGACAATGTAAATCAGTGCAGGGGAGACCTGCAATGCTTCTGGACCCACCTGGGACAGCAAAGCCTTGGCAGCATTTTCCCTACAATTCACCAAAGCACTTTGCTCATTTTGCCTACAAAGTACTGAGTCTTGGTCAAGGCAAACATGAAGAGGCACAACTCTTCCCTGATGACAGCCCAGATGCTGTCTGCAGACTACTAAAAAAGATTATTTTGTTGAGACTAACATGGGTTTGACTAACCCATGACTTATGGCAGACAGCTCTCCTTTCCAGCAGGCTGGACTGGCCCATGTAACACACTGAGGA